ACTCCCTATCCCACTGCCCTCAGCCCTGGAGAACCACTGATCTATATTCTTTTGCTATAAATTTTCCTGTGTTGGCTATTTCATATCAATGGAATTGTACGGTTGTAGTTTTTTGTTGCTGACTTATGCTCACTTAGTGCATTTTCAAGGTTTAACCATGTGGTAGCACATATTAGGACGCCATTCTCTTTTTGCCCCGTGATACCCCACTGCACGGATACACTGCATCTTGTTTGCTGTCAAGATCCTTGGTCACATGCAATCATTTGATGAACAATCAGGCTGTTTCTATGTTTTCTTTATTTGCTTTTATGAGTATTTTTTGCTGCTATGAACTTTTGTGTACAAGTTTTCAGGTGAACTTAGCTTTCCCTTTTTTCTGATGTAAAAATATGAGTAGAGTGGATAGGCTCTACTGTTACTCTATCTTTAACCTTTTGAAAACTTGTCAAACCATTTTCCAAACAAGATACAACATTTTTACATTTTCTCCAGCTGTGTATAAATAAGAGTTTCACCTTGGCATTTTCTGTCTTGTTGATTATAGCCATCTAGTAAGTCTGAAATGGTATTTCACTGTGGCTTCTATTTGCCTTTTCTTAATAGCTAATAAGGTAAGACACTTTTTATGTGTTTATTTGCCATTTATTAATGCATACCTTCTTTTGGAAAATAATTATTCAAATCCTTTGGGGTGTTTTAATTGGATTGTCTTTAACAATTGTTTTTAAATTGGCTGTGTTGATCAGTTTGATGGAAGTATTTCGGATTGCATGTGAAAACCCCACACTGTACCCCAGAAGTGCATTAATGTACATAGTTGCCATTCAATAAAAAAAAAAATTGTTTTTAAATTAAGCTATTTGTCTTTATTTTTTAAATTGAGTGGTCTAAAAATTTTAATTGATGTATTTATCTTTTGGGGGTCATGAGAGTTCTTTCTGGATACAAGTTCTATGTCAGGTATATAATTTGCAAATATTTTCTTCTATTCTGAGTTGTCTTTTCACTTTTTGGAAGGGACGAATTTTACTAGTGACTTGTTCTGGCCTATTTGAGAATTTCCTGAATCCAAATCAGTGCCATTTATGAGAGGTCAGAGGATCCTCTGGGAAACATGGTTGGTCTTGGGGGAGTGGCCTTATGCAGGTGGGAAAAGCATGTCCAGAGGGCCTACTGTCTTTGGTGCCCAGTGGATGCCATACCTCTGGCTGATAATTTCTTAAAGGATGAGCCCAATTACATCATAAGAAAGGAAAATTACACTAACTTCTATGGACACAGCAGCATCTTCAGATGTTGAGTGGGACCCTGCTTTTAGCCACAGTTGTATCTGTCAAACCTGCACTTTTAAGAGTGACCTGCTACCCCCGAGATCCAGAGGGCAGGTCCCTCACTTCCTACAAGGTGGTCCTTGGGGTGTTACTTCTGAAATAGTCAAGAAATGTCTTAGGATTATGAGTCTGAGAACTGAATGGTGAGTCCAGTCTTTCCCCCTCTGTCAGTGAGAGTAGGAACAGCAAAGTTCTGCAGAACCAAACCCAGCTGGCCTGAGGAGGGGGTGGTTGGTTTGCAGACTAAACAGTCCAGAGAAAGGGCTGATATCAGTCTCTGCTTGGTGCGGAGCTAAAATGTTGCAATCTGCCTGCTCCTTGCTTTCTCTTATTTCAGTTCTGGTGCCCACCCTCCCGCCATGATTTAGCTTTATTCCCCAGCAAGTTTCACGTGGAGCCCAGATCTCACATCTTTCTTCTCACCCAGAAAGGAAGAAAGTGCCCTGCTTTTCAAATGGTCAAACAAAATGCCATTGTTAAGGCTCATGGGCCCTGAGCAGCCAGACTTGGGTCATCCTTTGCAATCCCCTAAGGTGGTCACTAAAGATCGAGGAACAGAGATGGGCTTAGCCAAGGTTATAGGCTGTGGACTAAAGGACAGAACCAGCTTCCCTGGGGACAGGTGAAGTGAAGGAGAGAAAGGGTGGATCTCCATGTGGAAACAGTTATTGTCATCAAAGGTTGGGCACTTGTTGACTTGTGTCTGGAAACAGCCTTCATGCAGGAAGAGTGACCATCTGGCTACAGAGCATGTGTGGTGTGCACTGCTCAGCACCACTTCCCAGCTGGTTGCCACTGAGAAAAGGTGGGCATCTTCCTTAGTCTGTTCATCAGGAGCCTGGATTGGGATTTAAAAACATAAATATTGCTATCTGTGAGCAAAGGTCCTTCATAAAGAGGGCAGATCCTGATTTCTGGGAAGCCCTTTGGTTTCTGGGCACTTTGATGGGTATGGGGCATTCTAGAAAGGGCCAAATAATTCTACCCTATAAAGGGAGTCTTTGGACTTGTGAGGGACTCAGAGGTAAAGGATGGCATGGATAGGTGGAAAATGCCCAGGGAAAGAGCAATCAGTGAGATTACAAGGCCAGTGAAAGTAAGTGGCAACTACCCAAGTGAAGTCAAGGGCATTCCAAGGGCAGGGAACTGCCCGGTGCTGTGTTTGAAGATGTGGGAGGCTGTGCTTCACAGAAAGCTGCTGAGTTTCCTGAAATCTCCACTAAAAGTCATCGGTCCAATCAGAGCTTTGGGGGAAGGAATATTCCATTTGCTTTTATTCTCTTGTGTTTTAATTATCAGACACCAAGGGGTCTGGGCTAGATGTTTGTTTTGATATCTGGCATTGAAAGTGTGTCCAGAGGCAGGTGTGCCTATGAGAACACCTCCACCCGCTGCAATCTGCAGATGTCTCAGGAATGATGGACTTGGACACAACTGGATTATGCCCAGTGGAACCTTGGGGGAAACAATGGGTGGCAGGTTAAAATCTGCTGTCCTGGTCCTATACTGGCTTCAGCAGATCCAGCTTCTGAAAGTGGGAATGTGGGATCTGAAAGTGCTGCCAAGCACTTTGACTAGTGTTACTCATAGACCTCACCTGGTCTCAAGGGAGCTGGAGGCCCTGACTGATGAGGATATGCAACTTAGCCACACAAGCCTCAGGTGATGTGATTCTGAAGTGGCCCACTTGGAATCCTGATGTTACAGGTGAGCGAGGACATATGGATAAAGGAAAATCTGTCCTCATTTTAACCACCGTTTTGTTCGTGACTTCTCAGTGTTAAGTATGCACAGCAGAGCATGGCAGAAAGGAGTGCGAGGCTGGACTTTTTTCTCCAATTGCCTCATCTCTTTAGCTTAGACCTGTAGGTTTGGAATGGAGTTGGTGACTTTCTCTCTCTGGAACCTTTTAATGAGGCTCGTGGTCTAGTCCAAGGTCACTTCTGCCAACAATCATAAACAGATGCATTCTGCATTGACAGCAACAGTGGTTCGAAAAATTTCAAACCTGAGAGTCTATAATGAGCTAGGAAGGCAGACACAAAAAACAAAAATGCAAGATCAGTAGTGTTATCAGCAGTGACTGGTTAAAGTTACAAAGATATGCACGAATAAACTTCATAGGAAATATAAAAGATGCATAAAGTTATTTTACCCTACTACAGGACATAAGAAAAGCATGGACACACTGTAAGATGTACAGTATTCTAAAATGAAAGCTCAGATATTAAATGCTATTTTTTTCCCAAATCAAAATGTCAGTCCTGGTTCAAAACACTTCTACTTTTTGAACCTGAAAAAATAATTTAATTTGGAAGAATAAGTATGTTTAGAAAACAAAATTTGGGAGGAAGAAAGAATAAAATCGTTCTTACCTAAAATATATAAAAAACATTATATATTTAAAATGGAGTAGTTGGGAAAGAACATTAAGAAGAATCACCACCCTTCCGGGAGGCCACCCAACCACCACTTCTGGACACCTGCTATTCTGCTTGAAGCCCTCCCTCCCACCAGAAGCCTGAGTTACCAAGTCCATGCACCCCAAACAAGGTCATGCTGACTCAATCTTCCCAACTTAGTCCTTAACTTCCCTCACCTCAGAGACATGTATTAATAGAACCAAGGTTCTGCCTGCAGTGTGGGGGTGGAGGGAAGAGGGTGCCCCTGTCTTCCTGGCCTTCCCAGCTCTTGCTTTGCTGGTGCAGCACGTGGGGACCGTTTTGGTGAATTCCTTTTCATCATTTTGCCTTCAGTGTTCAGAGTGGCTGCCAGAGAGCTTGGTCCCTGCAGCTTTGAGCATGGAAGGTATTTGGGAACCTGCCCCAGTGGGACCAGCCCTGAGGACTGCACCCCTCTGCCTGAAACAGCCAATGGAAGGACATTGTGGGTGGGTCCTGTATCCCAAGACTATCACCTGCTACTCAGAGCTGGGAAGCATCCTCTTATCCCATAGAATGATCTGACCCCTAGGTAGTGTTCTTTATGCACAAAAATGTCCTTGGAATGAGAAGAGAACCCAAGGCATGTCACAGCTGTTGGGTGTTTTAACTTCTCCATCCCTGATGTGAGCATGAGTCCAGAGGAAGGGATAGCGGGTGTGAACCTAGCACACAACCTCTCAGGATGGACCAGAGAAGGCTGCCTTGGCTTTGGATTTTTTTCCATCTCTGGTTCTGGCTGGTATTTTCCTCAGTTACTTATACACGGGCACTTCTAGTCTTTCTTTCCATGTAGGGGCCTAAAGGATGTTGTGAAAAGTGTATGTAAATCAGTATTTATTTAGTCTTTAGGGAATGGGATGAGAGAAGTCAGTCCTTGGTTTCTGCAAACATGCACAGGATCCAGCCAGGTCAGAACTGCTGGTCCAGTGCCCTTTGGAGGCAGCAGCCCACCTTCCAGGGCCCGCGGCCTGGACACCCTGCTCTATGGACTCCTCAGCAAGAGCTGCCACAGCTGATGTCTCAGTTCCAAGCCCCTCACAGCTCTTATACCTGATCCAAGACTCAGGTACCCCCAAAATGGCCACTCAGCCCCAAGTGGCATGCTGTGGCCCAGTTTGCTCTTAGGTGCTGGTCTGCTGTCTAGAACCAGTAGCACTTGGAGCTCTCCAGAAAGAGATGGCTGAAACCCTTCTCATGTGCACAGCCACCAACTCAAGAAAGAGCCATTGCTATTTTTTATTGAAGCAGGTGAGAGTGAGTGTGTGCACCATGGTCCAGCAAATTTGAGTCATGTGTAGAGCCACGTGACTGCTCAGCACAGGCCTCGGGAAGCCTCCTCTACCTGCCTCCCAGAGCTGGTGCACAGGGAGACCTGTTGGGGGGGGCTCTCCATCTCAGGACAGGACACCAGCAGGCGGTACAGGATGTGGGGAAGAGGTGATCAGTGCAGCCAGGCCTGGCACAGACCCCTAGGCGTTCTGACAACTGTACTTTGTCATGGTCATTTTGTCCTGCCAGGGAATACTATAGATCTCAAAAGAGCAGAGCACTTTCTGTGAAAGGAAAGAAAATAATGAAGTTAGAGCTGAAAGGGAAGATACCTAACCACAGGGTGTCAGGGTGGGGTGAGGGAGCTTGGGGAGAGATACTCGCCCCCCACCCACCCCCAAGGAGTCCCAGGATGCCCAACCCGTCTGTGCAGTGACTGCACAGGCCCTCCGAGGGCACTGTGTCCAGGGCTCCGAGGGCACTGTGTCCTCTACCCGGCCCAAGGATTCCACCATCCTCCTCTAGCACAGCTCTATAAGGAGCAGCCTGTGCAAGGCCAAGGGGGCCAGAGGTAGGTAGCTCCTGCCCCCAAGCTCCCTCTATTTCTAGCTCCTAGGCCAGCAATGAGAATGCCCAGAGGGAAGGCCCCAGCAGAGGGGAAACTCCCCTGAAGGATCTGGAGCTTGGGGAGGAGTAACAAGGGGAAGATGGCTCTCCCCAGAGCAGAGACCTCACAAAAACCAGCCAGGGTCTTGGAGAGGCTGGAAGTGGGTGAGCAGGGGCAGCTTGGAGGGCTTGGACTGCTTATAGGCCTCTAATTACCTCTAATCTGTTCAGTGTGGCTGTGGTTATAGGCAGGTGGCCAAGGCTGGCACTGGACAGAGGCCTTCTCCTTCCCCAGTGCAGCAGGCAACACCCCATAACAGGCTGGGTTGTGCTCTTAGCACCCCAACCCCCCAGCTACAGCCTCTTAGCCATTCAAATCAGTGGTGTGCTCATACCTATCCAACCTTCCATGTGCACACAGGTGCATGTCTGTGTAAACTCACCTGTACCCTCACTCAAAGGTGTCTGTGCATATCTCCCACATGGCCACACACCCCAAGTTGTGCACAAGGACATGCATGCACTTCCCACACTCCCTCTGCACACAAAACTCACACACGTGCCCCTCCACACCTGCACACCCCCACCTGAACACATGCTCACGGGAATGCACACCTGCCCCTGACCCACACCAAGCACATACCCTTTGCAGATGTGGCTGCTTATGGAAGGGACAGTCGTCCAACTTGGCCTGGGACTTGGTACACGTGGTCCGGCCAATCTCTACTTCCAGCACGTATTTCATCCCAGCCACGATCTACATGTGTGCAAGAGCAGGTTCAACTGCAGCACTGCCCACCAGTGTCACGTACAGGCGGTTCAGTAATGCTGAGTTACTGCATGTTAGCTGTCGCACTGTCACTCCCCCTCTCCTGGACATCATGGGACTGTGGCCCAGGCAATCCCTTATAATTGGTTTCCTGAGCAATGCCCCCAAGGTGTCACATGCACCCAAGTAGGAGAAGAAAATAAAGATGGAAGGTAGAAACTAACCCCTCTCACTGCATCCAGGAATGGCAGACACAGCTGTGGTACACAAGCTGTGGGCAGTTAGCATGGTGGGGGGGGGGGCAAAACACAGTCCCTGCACCAGAAGCACAGGGCAAGGTCTACAAGGGAAGGCTGTCTGTCTTGCCAACTGTGGCCCAGGGCAGGGAGTGCTGGCCATTCTAGGAAGGCTGTCTCCTGATGACACAGATTCAACGACTTCCAGCCACTAGTAAACAGCCCCACAGAATCCTGTTTCTTCCCTTCTGTAAAAGAGAACAATGATCTACAGCACCTGAGCTTCACTGCGAGTCAGACCTTCCCTCCAGTGGTACAGGAGGACCCACCTTGCCCTGTTCAAGGGAGAGGGCAGCAACTAAGGGCTGTAGAAGGAGAGACAGGCTGACCTGGACTTCTCAGATATTCAGGGGCAGGAGGAAGAGCTCTAAACCCTGGCTCACCATGCCACATGGTGCTGTGTCACTGATGGCTGCTGTGCAGTGGCACAGGGCAACTTGAGCCCAGCTGCCCTAAGACCTCTCCCTCTCTGACTGCCCTCCAGTCTCACTGCACCAAGGCTGGGATTGGCAGGGGTGGGGCTTAGGTGACAGCCTCTGTACCCAGCAGGTACTGACGCGCCAGTGGCTGTGGGTGGTGTGAGGGAGCTCAGGGTCAATGGTGCTGGCCCTAGGGGCTGCTCATAGGGCCAAGACTTTTGGAGGGAAGCCTGACCCTTCAGGACTAGGAGCCCAAGTTCCTCGAGGGCACCTGTTGAGGGCACTCAGAGAGGAGGACCTGTGTCCTCTGTGTGCACATTATGACCCGAATCCAACCTTGAGGGGACAACAGTCTCTATACCAAAAGTGGCTGGAGACTAGGGCAAGAAACAGATCGGCTGTTGCAACCCACTGCAGGGTTACTGCAGGTTAGAGGAGGCTAAGGAGATGGGATAGGGCTGCCATGCATGGCCTGCTAGTGTGCTCAAGTATGAAGGGCATCAAGTGTGACAACCAGCAAAATCTGAGTACGTCTGTGCAGGAGACAATGGACTGTATCAGTGTTGATAACTGATTTTCAAGACTGAATCGTGATTATGTGAGCTAATGCCCTTGTTTTTAGAATCTGTAAGTTGATCACCCAAGGGGCTATATATTACAAACTGGTCAATATGAGGAACTACTACCCGACTAATACTTACATGTGGTACACGTCTGGTCTTTGAAAATTAGGTCAGCTTAAGGTGGTCAACTAGGGCGGTTCTACTATATACAATGAAGAACTTTTTCTCAAGAGGTTCAGAATAATAAATGCATAGACCATGCATACACACACCACCTACACAGACATCTAGAGAGTAAGGTGGGTTAAATCAGTATGGCAAAATGATTCCGTGAGGGAGGTGCGTGATAGGTCTACAGCCATGCTTTGTACTACTTTTGCAACTGGCTCTGTTAATTCTGAAATTCCGTCGGCATAAAAAGTTAAAAAGAAAAAAAAGTGTTTGAAAATCATTTAATGGTAGAGCCTGGAGGGCAGCCCGGTGAGGGTTTCTGTTTTCCCGCTCCGCGTGGGTATTTAGCTAGCAGCCTAACCCTGATCCTGGCGTCTGCAAGCAGATCTGAGGCACCAGGTGCAGATCCGGACTGCAAGGCCGGTTCTTGGCAAGACAGGAGTCAAAGCATCCTGGTGACACGCATGCCAAGGGCTGCGGGACCGAAGAGACCTGGGCACTGTCTTGGTGAAGCGCTCAGGCGCGGCCGCGAGGGGCGCCAGGGCGGGGAGCAGCGGTACGACTGGAGCTGGCGGGACTGGGGCGCGCGCGGGGTAGCCCTTCAGACTCCGGGCCGGGGCCGGGGCCGCGGCCCTACGCACCTGCTTGCTGGCGCGCACTACCTGCAGCGCGCGGCTGTGGTACCTGTCATTGCTCGCCTTGTTGTATTCGCTCATGGCAAAGTTCAGCGCATGCTGCACACCCTCCTCGTTGACGTCGGCGTCCATGAAGCCGCCCAGTAGGCGCTTTCGCAGGCCGGAGCTAGCGCCGGTCGCGGAGCTCACGGCCAGGGCCACGGCCAGCGTGGCCAGCAGGAGCAGCGTGGCTCGCGGGGAACCAGCCATGGTCAGTTCGCACGCGGAGCGCAAGGCCAGAGCTGCAGAGGAAAGACTGGCAAGATCCAATAGCCAGAAACCTCACCCATCCCCAGGCCAGAAGCGTCCTTTTTATCCCACTCGGCCGCCCCGCCCCTTCCGGACCCCTCCGCCCCTCCTCCTCCTCCTACCCGGCCCCAGCCCGGTGGGCCGTGTGGTCACCGCATTCCGGATCCTCCCTTCGAGCTCCTCTCCCTGCCCCCTCCTGCTCCCTCCCACGCCTGCGCCGGCTTCCTTTTGATTCTCCCAGCTCTGCCCCTCCGCGTCCTTCCTACGGCCACCCGCTCCCGTCCTCTCCAGCCCCTCTTCTTTCTCGCGTCTCCACCCCCCACTCCGTCTCTCTCCCCAGGCCTGTCCCTCCTTCCAATCTTGGGTTCCCCTGGTATGAGGAAGAATTCGAGGCTCTCTGGGCTCTGAAAATATGTGACCTCCGAACTCTGTTAGAAAAGAAGAAAAAAGAAGTCTTGGCCTGTGGAGGTCGTGAAACGTCTGGAGCATCCCTGAGCACTTGGTGCACGTGTGGGGATCCTCAAAGCTGGGCGTGATTTCAGAGGGCCCAGCAAACTCTAGTCCACATTCTGTTCTGGGGAACTATTTTACCAGATGTAGGGGAATTAACTTTTATTTTTAAAGGTTTAAAAGGTTCGTTTTCACAACTCAATACTACATGTTAAACAAACTTTTTGATAGCCAGCTTGCTGGAGCTGAGGGTAGGACCTGCCTTGGGGCGGCAGTAGGGACAGAGGAACCAACCGGTGAGGGGAGGCGCTGGAGGCGCCAGTGGCCAGGGGGCTGTACAACTGCTGGATGGGACACCCCCAGGTTGCCAGCTCAGGGAGGCCCTTGGGTCTCCCTCCCTGGCACTTGAGGCTAAACTGGGAACCGCCCGTTTCCCAGGCCTAGTCAATTTCATGTAAGTTTCCTAGGCCTGGAAACAAGACTGGATCGTATCCATATTCATCTGTTAGGCTATATATAACCCTACACAAAAGGGGGAGGGATTTTTTCTGACCTGAGTTTTTCCCTCTGCCAGAAGTTCTGGTGCTTTCTCTGTATTCTTTTCTGTAAAATAAATCCTGTCTTACCACTGATCTGTGGTCCATGGATTCATTCTTGGAAACCCGAGACCGATGGCCTACTGAAGAAGAAATTCCCGTATCACTTTCACCACTGGTGACCAATCCAGGCAGTCTAGGCTTGCAGATGGAGTCTGGGGTCAGTCAGTCATGGATGGGACATTGCAGAGCAATTTTTAATTTTTCAGTAACCATACTAAAAAAAGGAAAAAGAAACTGACAAAAGTCATTTTGATCATGTTTTTATTTCACTTAATACATCCGAAATATTATTTCAACATGGGAGCAATTATTAATGAGATAATTTACATTCTTTTGGGTGCTGCACAATGTATTTGGAATTGTGTGTGTATTTTTTACACTTAGAGCCTGTGTCAGTTTGGAGTGGCTCAATTTCAAGCGCCCAGAGTGACATGTGGCTGGTGGCTATGGTTTTGTACAGCCCAGCATTAAGGTAGGTAAGGGAGTGATGGAAGGAGTATTTAAATTAGGGAGTTATAGACGATCTGTTGGAAGTGACACAGGAGGGACAGAGAGAGACGGTGCCACTGGACACTGATCAGGGAGGTCTCTATGAAACCTAGAAGGACCAGAGTCCCAACTAGACCAGGCAGAGGGGGCTCCAGACAGGGCACAGCTAGGGCAAAGGCCCTGAAGAGGGGCTGGACATGCCTCTTCTGGGAGGAAGGGGCATATCCTGGAACCCTCACAGTCCACTGTGGGTGGAGGCTGGGCGGGAAGGGTGCAGGGAGACCCCCAGCAAGCAGAGGAGGGGCAGTGAGTGGAGCCCACAGCCCAAGGATGAGATACAGGCTGGTCTTGCTTCTCTTCTCTGGGAGCCAGGCTGGTGGCTTGGGTCCCCTGTGCACTATTTGGGAAAGTCACCTGATCTTTAAAATAAAGAATCACCTTTAATGAGGTATAATTCATATACAATAAAACATCTCATTTTATGTGACCAGAGGAGTTGTAGGAAACACACACACCAGTGTTAGCACCACATTCAAGATCTAGAGAGTGTGTACTGCCCCTGCAGGTGACCCTCATGTTCCCACCCTGAATCCAGACAACCCATCCATCCCACTCTGTAGACCCACTTTTTTGCCTGTTCCTGCACTTCTGGTGAGCATAAGTGTGTCTGGTCTTCTTTGCTCAGCATGGCTTTGAGCTTCCATCTGGCGTTTTCATTAACCTTGATACCAGACTTTCAGGTTCTTGGTCTCGGTTATTTGAAGAATAAATCCGCAGACCAGATCAGTGGCAAGACAGAATTTATTTACAGAAAAGAATACAAAAACACTAAAGTTCCTGGTAAGGAGAGAAAACCCAAGTCAGGAGAGAAAAGCTCTCCCCATTTTTTCTCTCCATCTAGGGATATATATATAGGCACATTGGTGCCTTCTATAGGAGCCAGGAAATGAATGGACACAGTCTCTTCCACCTGGCCAGGTGAATGAATGTGTTAATGAATGGACACACCCATTCATGGAATTGAGGCCTAGGAAACTTACATGAAATTGACCTAGGCATAGGAAATGGGGGTTCTGCATTTAGTCATAAGTGTAAAGGGGTGGGGACACCAAGCCTTCCATGTCTCCCCAGCAGTTGTCCAGTCCCTTTGGCTACAGAAGCCTCTGGTGGAGGAGGGAGGCTCCCCCCTCTTGCCTATGCTCCAACTCGCTGGTTCCTCTGCTGGCTGCCATGGCACCAACACCACCAAGGTGGAGGTGGTGGGTCCTCCAGCCCAGCTCCACTGAGCTGGCTGGTGCCCACCTGTCCTGTATCAACCTGATTGTTAGTTCTTTCTCCCACGTTGAGTCAGCTGGTACCCTGTGGGCTAACAGGGCCCCCAGCTCAGGATGGTGGAGCTTTGGGTTTCAAAATAGCCCTGGGAGTGGAGAGGGTGATGGGTGTTCTGAGCAGAGAGCTGGCTCCCTCTGTTCCTTCAACCTGCCCTCCGTTCCTGAAGATGACTCTGTGGCAGTGACCTTGTGGTGAAGACAGCAGGCTAGGCAGAAACAGTGGGCCCTTGAAGGGCAGCCAGAAGGTCCTCCTTGGGAGTGATGACAGTGATGGCTAGGCAGTGCAAGCACAGCCCTATTGTAACTGTGGAGTAGGGGATGAGAGGGTCTGGTGAATGGAATCCCGCAGGCAGGAACCCCATCACTGAGGAGTGCCCATGTTAAGTGTTAGGAGGGGGCCCATCCAGCCCCACTGGGAGTCCGGGGCTCCACTAGGTTCACTAGATGTCCCAGGGATGGCGTTTGCTGCCCCTGAGGGAGCAGATCTCCTTGCAGGATGGTACATGGTGCTTTCCTAGTTAGACAGGAAAGAGAGTGAGGGCCATGGAACAGGGTGACGGAGGGCAGCCCCAGGCCAGATGGAGGGAGTGTGTTCCCCAGGGTGGCCCCACCTTCCTTGGCTGCTGGGGCTCTGGTCCTAGGAGGGAGTGCTGTGCAGAGGGCAAGCTGAAATGCAAGGAGCCCTCCAGTCTTTTTTCCTTAGGAAGAAGGTGCAGGTCACCCAACTAGCTGGGGGTGGGTGGGTGGGAGTGAATGTGCTAGGAGGAGTGGCTGGCATGCTGACACGTGCTGACACAGGTGACAAACATGCCTGTGGTGGTGCGAGCTGCAGGAAGGGTCCGCTATCTCGATTTAGTAACATCTTCAATCCCAGCTGAATCGACACCAGTGCAGGGTATTCCCAGGGGCCACCCAACCAGTATGTTAGGAAGTAGAGGTCATGGTAGAGTGGACTCTGTAGTAGCTGTTTGGGTGACCTTGGGCAAAGGTTTTGTTTCTCTGCATGGACACATCTGGAGAGTTGGCTGCTTTGTATGTGGTAGTGTCAGGGTCAGAACCAGCAAAGACAAGCACCCATCAGCAGTGACATCTACACAGGTTCTGAAATGGCAGAGCTGCCTGTGGCCTGGTTCCTGTAGCCCACAACTTCAAGGACAGGCTGGCAGGGACCCAGAGAGAAATTACTGACACAGGACAGAACCTGGGGCCTTCAGCACCTCTGCACCCCAGAGGACCCAGCTGCCTAAGAAGGGAGCATATCTCCCTTCTGATAGGTGAAGACAGGGAAACTGTGTTCTTGTGGCAGTGTGTGACTGCTGGTCTCACGAGGTAAAACAGTAAGAAATTGGGTAAGGGAGTCACAGAATTTCTCTAATTAAATAAGCAGTAATAAGTTAATACTAAACAATACTATAATAAATAAATGGCCAAACACATAAAACCTCACCTAAAGTTGTACATGATTCAGATCAGGTTGCTCACAAGTTAAGATTCTGAACATTCAGGGTTTGAGAAGTTAACACTCACGGTGTCTATGGCAGCACCTTACACTGAACAAGTGTCGGGATTTGGTGGCATCTCAAAAGGGAAAGATCCGGGTCCCTCCCTTTATGGAGTGGCTGAAGTTCCCCAAGGGGGGAAGTTCTACAGTCCCCTACATATTCCCACACCTTCTCCCTTCTTCTGGCCCCCCGCCACAGAACATGGGGTTGCTTTTAAACCATGTGTGAACGTTCATAAAGCATTGGGGCTCTGATAGAGATTGGGGCTATGTCACCATGAAACTGATCCTTGTGGGGAAACCTACTGTTCCCTGTACAGGACAGGGTGAGAGAGAGTAGAGATCAATTGCTTTGCACTTCACAAAAAGAAAGATTATCATTTTAGAAGCTTCTGCTCAGGGTTCATCGTGTAAAGAGCCCTCACTGGTCTGTATTACAAGTTACCATTTATTTTCACAAGCCCTCTAGCTAGCAGAGCAGAACCACTGACTGAAGAACAACTGCTGAGTGGAGGGGGCAGGGAGATACCTCCAGGGACACAGGCAGGTACAGCCAGGTGCTTGTCCTGTCTCCTTCTACCTCAGCCTGCAGAAGCCCTGGCCACCAGCAAGCAGGTGGCTCTGAGTAGGGTTAAGCAATGCCCCTAGAATCTCTGGGTG